ACGATATACATCGTTTCAAAATGAAAATTCTCTGTGTCAACAGCTGCGTAGCCATGAGAACACTTTGTAAAGTATTTCTGTTAATAGTGAAAAATAGTTTTGTTTCCTGCAGGTGCTCTGGTTAAATACACAAAATGAAAAATGAAACAAACTCTGAATTTTTTTTCTAGTGCCTGTATTTCTTTTTTTTTTTTTTAGAGTTATAAGAACTGTGAGAGTAATAAAACCCAAAAAGTGTAATTGTTATTGTAAAAAAGAGAGGAAAAGAAAGTGGTCTAAAGGGTATAACTGCATGTATATTTAAGTGTGTAGGATAGAAAACCATATTACTGAGTTCTTGTTGGATCATTGAACAGAACTGTCTGTAGTCTCACTGTATGAATGTCCACTTTGTATGCTTTAATCCTGTAATTTGAGCAACTATTTCTAAGATGACAATACATATTGACAATAGATTACATAATCTATTAACTAGTGATTTCTTACTGTATATTTTTTTCTTGAAATTCTGTATTACTTGTACCCTTTTACTGCTTTTTTTCTCTCTTTAAATAAAAAAAAACTCTGGAATTTTTACAAGAGAAAGACAGTTCTGTTTCTTTTTTCAGGGGAAGGGACAGATCTTCCACTGTTCAATTTTATTTCCTCAGCATCTGCAAACAGAACGGGTTTTGGATAGGAAAAATCAGCATTCTGAGAGAGGACTTCACTTCCCCTTAGACCTGGAGTGAAGGGACGGCCCTGGAGATGCCTCTTGGCCCCATCAGGTGACACTTCTCAGCAAATGTAAGCAACTCTCTGAATTCTTAGCAGGGAACCACACATGGTGTTTTTCGTACTCTTGAAGATTACAATGATCAGTCTAAGCTCACTTTGTATTTTAATTCAGTATACATGGCCATGTTTTTTCCCCGATGTGCTAGTACTGTATGCTCCAAAGTTCTGACACTAAGTACACTCCCTAAGACTGTGGCTGGCAGGTCCCTGGGTTCCAGCCCTGGTCTGGCACTTGTTAGCAGATGATGCCACCTGGGCCCATCACCCCACTAAGGAGCCAGGACAACATTGCTGGCCTTGCTGGGATCATAATTCCTGAAAGATCTGTAAGATCGTGGTGTAGATTCCAGGCTGCACAGGAAGCCACATCCTGGCGCTCTCCTAGCTTTCTTCCAGTCACAATGTCACCAACCTAATGTTCTCAATCTCTAGTCATCACCAAAGGCCCCAGTGGATGCGTGCTCATTGCAAATGCTTCCAGAGTCACAGGCAGACATTGGACCTGGTGTCTACTCTACTTTGCCCGACTTGAAGTGTCACCTGCCGGGAGCCACAAGTCTCTCTCTGAACCATAACGACCAGGAGGATTTTTATGCAATAGCCAGAGCATACTTCTTACTTGCATGTTAAGGGCTCCAACAGGGTAGAGTTGGAAGAATGCACTTCTGGGTCTCCATCACTCATCAATGGACCTGGCACAAAGTGGGAGCTCAAGAGGCTACATGGACCAGGACGCTGCAGCAAACGAAACACAGTCTTGCCCTTTAAAGCAAAGAAGAACCATGCCTTGTGCTGGTGATGGCACTGGGAAATAGGGACTCTCACACGCTGCTAGCAAGAGCACAAAAGGTCCACCTCTAGCTAAAGCTGTCCCAGAAATACCTATCAGTGCTGCAGTCAGAAGCATCAGCCACGCTAGCACAAGACAGAGGCAGGAAAGCATGCTTGGAAAATCTCTGGCTGGCAGAGAAGACTCAGCTTCCAGCGATGCCATGCAGAGAAGCCATGGGGTCCTGGCAAGTCCCTTCTGAAGCCCCCTGACTTCACACTTTTTATCCATGCAGAGATGAAGTCAAGACAGGTGATTTCTAGGACCCTGTTCAGGTGGGCTTTCTAGACCAGACAACAGGCAACAAGTTGGGCTGGAACGCAGCTCTGTGGCACAGCACCTGCCTAGCACACCTGAGGGTCTAGGTTTGATTCCCAGCACTTGGAAAAAAACCCAACCACTCCCCTAGCGCCGCGGCCGCCAACAGCAGCAGACACAGAAATGGAGTCAGAGCTCTTTAGAATCCAGACACAAGTTGAGGGTTGACCTATGGATTTGGGGTTCCTGCATTTTTGCCATATTTCAGAGTCTTAATTCTGGATGGTCTGGTCCTCCTGAGCCATTGTCTCACGGCTCTTCCTGTGGGCTACTGCCTCATCCTTGGTCTGAGGGTACACGTCTTGCCACACCCACTGGAGAAGCACCAGAGACCTGCCCCCCCACACACTCAGGGGCAAGTCCGCCACTGAGGGTCTGTAGTGACTCCATCCTTTTCCCTCAGTCAGCGCAGCCCTAAAGATCCTAGAAGCCCTTGCTAACTGGTGCTACATGCCTCAGCATGTTAAGCCTACCGAGATGTCACTTGGCAGTGACCCAAGGAAACATCCACAGCGTGACGCTCGGCACTGGCTTCCTGGCAGCAGGGCTCCCAGAACTGCTGCCCGCACGGATTGGGCCTAAAACCCTTCAATTCTGGGCAGTATCCACCTCTCCAATCAGAGCTGCCCAGAGCAACTCGCAGCCATTCGATAAATGTGCCTGGTTTTGAAGAGTCCACAAAAGGAGGCTCTTTCCTCCTCCACCCTCAGTCTTCCACTCTCAATTTTCCTGTCAGGTCAAGGGATCGGCTCACCCTGCTAACTGTGCACACACCCTCCCCCTCTCACCTCCATCCCCTTACCCCCAAGCACAAAGGCCAGAGCAGTGTTGAATAATCAAATGCATGCATCAATTCCCTCCAAACTGAATTTCCTGGACTCGTTTTGAGCTGGGGGAGGTCACGGCTTCTGGAACTGAACTGGAAATTTCACGTGAAAAACTGCCGCACAGACCCCCAACGCTCCCAGTACTCCAGCTGCTGAATCCCTGCGGAGGCCCCAACTCACCCACCGTAGTTTTTGGTGCCTCTGCTTTACCCACACGTGCTGCCAAAGAAGCTACTGTTTAAAGAAACTTTTAAGAATCTATGCATGAATTACCTGTAAGTTAAAAAGGAATAAAACAAGAGAGGCCATACTAAACTGTGTTATGCTGTAAAATTGGAATGTAACTCTTAACAAACACAAATCTCACGGAGGTGCTCACTACCAAGCAGAGGTAATAGCAACACCCAAAGCTACAACTGGGTGTTCCAAAGCCCACGGAACACGCGCCGAGCTTCCTCCCGGTCCTGTCCTTCCTGTCCCGTGTCACTTCTTCCTCCCTCCCTTTCTTCGTTCTCTCTCTTCTGCCTTGTCCTCCCCCTGTCTCCTTTTCTCTTTCTCCCTCTTCCTAACCCTCTCCTTTTCCAGGTAGAATTTGGCTTTTGTAGGAAACAAACTAAACAAGCAAACAAAACACACAGCGAGGAGCACACTGTGACCCAGCTCTGAGGTTTGAAGCAGACGCTGGCCTCTGTCCCGGCGTGCAGTTTCACCTGTTCTGTGCTCACACAGTTTCCTGGTGTAGGAGGGAGCGGAGGGGCAGCCAGGGCCAGCACTGTCCTCATCCCTAACACTCCACGGTCCTGCATCCAGAGGGGTCACAGTGTGAAGACATCCAGGGCCGTGTGCATGTAGAGCAGCGGGCCCCATTACATGAAGCATGAAAGCAGGCCTGGTGTGGGGGGTGGAAGGCCCTTCTATGTCATTTATTAAAATAAAGGAAACCTCAGGCCTCATCTTGTGATTTTAGAGGAAGTCAATCACGACCAGTTTTGCAGTTTAACTTAGTTATATATTAAATACTATCACTAACAGATTTAAAAAATGAAGTAACTGTTTTCAAAGCAAGAGTTGGACTTAAAAAAAAAAAGTTCCATTGGTTCTTCTAAAATCATGCTGCAAGGTAAATCCTACGACTTAGCAAAAAAACAGGGAGCTACAACGACAGGAGGAAGTGTGCTCCTGGCTCTTCTCCTGCAATACTGAAATCTTTATTACTCTACTTTCTCCTTTATTTCTGCTTGTGTTACGCTTATTAAAATGGGGCAGCTCTAGTGGCTAAAGAAAACAGGTAAATTTAAAATAAAACAAGAATGTCTCCTCTTGCCCAATACAAATTGAAACACAAGCAGTTTGAACCAGGATTATGTCTTTCAGAACCAGGCACCCCTCCCTTTCCAACACCCCACCCTAAAATAGAAAAACACACACGCATCACAACCACACATGCCCTGTTTTCTAAAAAGAGGTGACCTGGGCTGTGTCAAGGTAATAAATAGATTTTACTCCTGGCCAACGGCTCAAACCGTCCACAAATTGAAGATGTTTTTGGAATTAGTGTTAAGCAGACACATCCTGTTTACCCTGAAAACCTGAATAAAAAACACAGCAACAGCTTCTGTGGTGATGGTCTCAGCCCCAGAGCAGCCTGGAGAATCACCAGGCAGAACCACCTTCCCCTGTCTTTTACTACTGGATGCAGGCGGCAGTTATTTGAGCTTCTAAGGAAAAGAAAGAGAAGGAGCAGCCTACATTCTTTTGGAGCCTAAATCCAAAAATCATTTTGAAAGAATGAGAATAGCTTTTCTCTCCTCTCCTCTCCTCTCCTCTCCTCTCCTCTCCTCTCCTCTCCTCTCCTCTCCTCTCCTCTGATCCCTTTTCCTCTCCTTCAGTGTTGGGGATGGAATCCAAGCCCTTGTATAGATTAAGCAAGTACTGTACCCCTGAACTACACCCTCAGCCCTCAAAACAGGTTTTCGGTGTCCTGATCCAAAAGAAAACAAGACACCGGCTTATTCTTTGACAGGTGGTCAAGGAAGCCACAGTAAGCAGGATGGCAGAGTTCAGTCAGGGAAAACACACCCTTCCGCTGGGCTTGGGGCACTCATAAACACAAATACGGCCTGAGCCCAAAATGAACACAGCCAGAAATCACCGGGCACAGGTGTCCAAAGCACATGTCTGCCCTTACAAAGGTCACAGCCATCCCGCGGAGGACAAAGAACACACACACACCCATGACTCTCTCTTACCTCCAACATGGGCCTGGCACTATCATGGACAGACAGAATGTGTGTCACCTTGTTCTTGCTCAATTGTTCCACATCTCTGGCATCTGTCATCGAAGACAGGGATGGACATTTTAATATTCTCAGTGAGGTAATCACTCCCAAAGCCTCCGCAGGAAACAATACAACATGACTTGCAGAATTCTCCCTTGAAACTCCACGATTGACCACACCCAGAGCAATCTGGATTTGAGGGATCCAGGCTACTGCTTTTCTGTATTTTGACTAGATTTATTTCAGATTGATGCACCTTTGGGTTTGAAGTGTTATGCTAAACTCCAACAGAACTTAGATTAATAAACACTATAATCATGATGATTGCTTTTCCAAGGAAATGAGATCCTGATGCGGTTTTATGGTTGGCCTGTGTAAGCTATGGATCCTTAGGGTACCTTTTCTGCACGAGACACATAACAATAAAGATGTTAAATTAAAAAAAAAACCTGTTAGCTCTTAATACTTAGTAATCTAAGTAAAAAAATTAATACAAAAGACCTGCTGAACCTAGGAGACAGAGGAGCCTGCCTCTTGATTGTGATATCCAAGACAAGTTTAGGGACAGGTTGGGACAGGATCATAGTTTAGAAGCCTAAATTTACTCCAAAGCAAAAGGAAAAGGGGACCCTTTTCCAGAAGTTCCAAGCAGAATCACCACCAGTTAGCAATCGGCTATGAAGCTACCTGCGAATGAGATTAAAGATGCTTCCCCCACCTGTAGAATGATGACAGAATGCTGTCACCCCCCGAATGGGAACTCTGCTAGTCTACAGAGCAGGATCCAGTGAGAAAGGAGGAAGGGTCAGGTTTACAGGAGGGACCTGAGCAGCAGATTTGGGTGCCCAAGGGGGCCTTGGGAGCCAACCTAGCAGACACTGAGTGACAATGACACTTTTCTTCATCTTGAGACTTTGCTGGGATATAAGTCACACTCAAGCCACAGATTTCACCCTTCCTACAGCTCCGTGTGATCTGAGGAGTTTCAGCTCCTTTGCGGGTGTGGACTCCAGCACCGCCACCTGACCTCAGAGCATTTGCATCCGCCCCTAGATCTAGCTCCATGACAGGCTAGGACCAGTAAAGAGTGGTTCGGGGTGAAATGATCCACTCGATACCCCACGCGAGCCAACAGGATGCTGGACCCGCAGGAAAGGAAGCGAGCCCTGGGCAGCGCTGCCTTCCCTTCCTCAAGCACCATCTGCACAGGCCCGGCGGTCTCATCCCCTGCGCAGGCGCCTGTCCACGCCCTGGAGCGCACGCAAGGCTTAGCACTGTGCGTGAGGGCACCTGCCTTTCATTCCTCCGGCCATCGAGCTGCACAGGTCACCCGGGAGGCAAGCTGTGAACGCAGTGGTGACAGCTACCACGGCCATCACTGGACCCTGCACACGTGTAGTCCATCCGCTCAGGCCAGCTCGTCCTGGTCACAGCACGCCACCCCAGGTGCTTGGTGCAGGGCTCTTGAGGGCCAGCAAGGTACCATGTAGGGCAGGTCAGACACCCAGATTCCCAGGCCTTCCTCACAGCTACTGAAGTCAGAGCCCCCACTTTCTATTAGAACTGCAGGTTAAAGGCTAGGCCTTGCGCACGTCAGGCAAGTGTTTCACTGCCAGGCGGTAGCCCCGCCCAGAGCTTGCGTTTTAATCAGAAACGCAGAGGTGACCTGCACCCTATATACAGAATGAGGGGCCAGAGCTAGTGACCTCTGAGCTGGTGGAACCAGCAGGACCTCTCTAGTGTGGTGCAGGGAAAAAGCCGAGAAACCGCTCGGGAGCCACCTATGCTCACCAACACAAGTTCGAATTAATGAAAACAGTGGGAAGAATGCAAGTTGGAAGGCTGACGGCGTCTTCTTAGCCAGGAGCATCCCAGGACGTAGGGCGGCTGGCAGGTCACTCTGATCCATACACTGCTGCCACATTTAGATTTTCCTGTTTGTCTCACCCATGAGCCCGTGTGACATCTCTAACGACAAAAAGCACCTTACATCGACTGCTCACAGACAAGAAAAAGGACAGCCCACCCTCTGCTGGTAACCGTGGACCACACTCTTCTCTCTTGTGAATTTCTCCCCTGGCCCCTGGACTTGTGTCCTCTGCTGCCTCAGTTTACCCAGGGGCCTTCTTTCCACGCCTTCTGAAGAAGCAAACGCCTTCCTCTCGCAGGGTAGGCACTAACACAGTGACTGTCTCCTTGGAAGTCCTGTCAGTCACTGGGGTAACACATGATATGGAAGACCTCAAAGTCCTCAAAGAGCATAAGTGACAACCACAAGTGTCCCTCAGAAGGGAAATCAAGATCACTGGTTTGTGGATGCCACAGGTCCTAAGGCACAGGAACATGGGCATGGCCACAGGAGATGGGCAGTCCTGCAGGAGCCCAGCACAACCATCACAAATAAAATTAACTGCTGTGGACTGGAGCCAGCACCAAAAGCAAGCTCTGCCAACACACTTCCTCTAGAAAAGCAGGCATCCCACGGACTGGGGCAGAGGCTGTCTCTGTATCTGGAACCTGCCCCTCCCTGCATCGGCCGCACTCCAGTGCCTTCCCCAGCACCCCTGCTCCCAAGCTGAGAATGTGCAGACCCATGGGAAAGAGGGTCAGCCTGCCTTTACTTTCCACTTCCCACTGAAGACTGTTCAGTGTCGCCCAGATTACATAAGGGATCCTAAATGATAACGACGCCCAGCATTCTGAGTTACTTGCTGCTGGGCTCAGACTTGAAGTGGACACATCTGCCCGGGCTGGGCTGGCTCCTGCCTGCTGGACTCTCCTGGCTCTGACATGGCTGCTGACCCCAGAAAAAGTTTCCATGCCTCCCTCTCCTCGCCTGCAAAATGGGGACGGTTGAGGGAGCCAGCCTGATGTGCTGCCATGAGCACTGAACACCAGAACGAGCTTGGAGGGGCTGGGTGAGTGGAATGGTGTTGTCTTCAGCTCTGTCCACTATGGCTTGGGTGTGGTTGTTCCCCTGGAAGCCTGTGAGGCCACAGCATCCTGGAGAGAGGGACCGTTCTCTCTTGAGCAGGCTGTCTGACAGCAGCGCCCTGCTGGGTCGGCCACTTCTGTGTGCTAACTTCTTTCTTGTTTCTCCACCAGGGCTGGGAGCCCAGGACCCTGCAACCTCTAGGACTGCGAGCTAAATGAGCTGCTTTTCTCTATACTCAGCCTCAGGCATTTTGTGATATCATTATCATTGCAATCAGACGGAATCTCAAGGCTGCAGCACGGGCTCCACTTGTGTCACCTCTGCACACTTTCAGATCCACACTTCCTGGGAAGACACTCACACCTGGCTCTCTTCCACTCAGCACCCAATGGGTATCACCCGGCTCGCCCAGGTCCAGTACATAGCATCCCATGAGCAGCTGTCATTCCCGGAGGCCAGCAGGCCCACCTCCCCGGCAGACCCAGCAGCGAAGCTCTGAGACCTCACTGTGTGCATGGAGGGCCTGAGCTTGCTCCCACATGTCTATTGGACGCATTTGTGAAGATTTTACCCCACGAGAGCTCCCCGTCCACTGACACTCTACCCTTAACCCTAACTCTAACCCTGTGTGGGTCTGTGCTAAGCTGTGAAGAAGCAATGGACCCTGTGCTCTGCCCCAGAAGGTGCATCTCGGGCTTATTTCTACTCCCTGTTTCCTTGCCCTCCACATCTGGGTGCAGCTGGTTGCTGGACACAGGGCACAGCTCCTGAGAGCGGCTGGCTTGGCAGACATGGGAGACCCTGCTTGAGAAGCTGGGATTGTTTGCGGTGGAGAAATCATGGGGCGCTGAAAAACCATTTCTGATTCGCTGCCATGCTGGAAAACTAAAGGAAGTTGCAGAGGGCCATGAAAGGAACTCCACAAGCAAGAAAGAGGACAGGAAGAAGAAGAAGGAAGGGGGGAAGGAAAGGAGCATGCAGGGAGGAAGGAAGGGGGCAGGAGAGTGCACGGCTCTACCTGCTCTGCCAACGTATCGGGCCAGCCCCCTGCCCCACAAAGGGCTCCTTTTGTTTGCACGGATGAGGATGAGTGAGATGCTCACTGCAGCACAGATGACCGGGGCTCCAGGGCCCAGGAGGAAGAGGCCAGCTTCATAGGACCCCACAGCCCACCGAGAGCAGCATCTCACAGATGGGAACTGGTGCTGGCTTCGCCACTCCCCAGACTGCCCTCTGGAGCTGACCGAGAACGCGGCCATGGTCCACTGGGCACCGCAGTGGCCCGTAAAGCTGTCTTCTGTTCCTGTGCACCGTCCCCTGCATGCTCAGCTTGTGCAACCTACCTACACGCACCTGGCTCACAGGCAGAGCACGTCTAGGCTCCAGGAGAGAGCCCATCTGTGCACTGTGCCGTACCCTGCAGGCCCCTTGCTGTAGCATCCTCGTCCCTGTACTGTGACCTCTCAGGAGAGGACACTGCCCACAGCCCTCTGCCGCTTGTGGTATGTGCCCAGGATATGAGCCCAGGGGCCAGGGTCCCACACTTCCAGCTTCCAGCTCCTTCCCATGCACAGTGCTATCATCTGAAACTCAGAGAAGCCTTGTGCCAGGTGCTTAGGACACGGTGAATTAGCAAGTGATGTAACCTGACCTCTGGTATCAGAATGATCCAAGACAAGGATAAAGTAATCAGAGTCCAGCAGGGAGCAGGCGTGGCTGCTCAGAACAGGAGGTGAGACAGGAGAGCGAGACTCCAGGAACTGGAGGGACTCAGAAGACAAGCACAGGATTCGCTATGAAAAGCTTCAGATGCTTCCCTGATTCTGAGAACCAGTGTCCTTCTAAAAGAAGGCAGCTCTCTATGGGTTGGGCTAAAACTCATTCACTGCTGGCAGAAGTACTAGATTTGGCTGATATTTACTAAAAATGTTATTTGTAAACATACCGAGCCAGCAATTCCAAGAATGTATCCTACTGTCTGTTCTCACACCCCATGAAAGTAGTTAATAACAGCTTGCCAAATAACTCTCAAAATACTTAAAATTATTACCTCTACCTCAGCAGCACTTAGCCCAGCTACCGCAAAACCTGTTCTCTCTCAGAACTGAAAGCTTACTGATTTAGGAACTCCAGAACTATTTTTAACCTGTTCTAGTATTAATTAGCACCCTCGGGTGCCTCGCTTAACTACCCTGGAGGCTGATCCCCAGCAGGAGGATTGGAGTGGGGGAAGGGAAGTCTGCACTGGGCAGGGAAACGGCGGGGCTGTCTGCACCATCAGTGTGCTCTTGCACTCACAAACTTCACCCGCAGCCAGGACACAGACTGGAGCGGTTTGGCGTCGGGTCCTGCCCCAGCTTGTGGGAAGGAGGAGCACAGGACAGGTTAGACGTGTGGTGGGGCGCGGCTCCTGCCGCCCCAGGAAACCTGGGGACCTGTTACCAGTGTCCCGCACCTGCTCATCCTAGGCAGGCCACCTCCTCCCGACACCGAGGAGCTGGCGTCTCCTTGTAGAGACTCTGCAAGGTGCCCAGCACAGAGACCTAGCTACGAGCCTAGTGCCCACCATCAGATCCAGTCTTGAGTGAGCGGGAAGCACAGAACCAGCAGCGAACTGCACACCAATGACACCGAACTGAAGGACAGTGGGAGAGGGTGTTGGGATAAAAGCATTTCCCAGGCAATAAAAGACCCAGACTTCTGAGTTTAATACCAATAATAAAACATGTAAGTGCAGGCTGGCTGAGGGGCCTGCTGCTTGTTACCTTGTGACAGCAACGTTCCAGCAAGCATGAAGAACTACAAGGAGGATGCAAGGTCAAGTGGGGCCTGCACATCTCACGCTACTCAGTCAGCTGAGAGGTCAGGCAGGGGTATGCAGATGTGTGCAGACCCAGGCTGCCCTGCCTGTCTCCACCTGTGAGAAGTCAGAGGCCAGAGCAGCTCTTTCACAGTGACATCCCCTGTGGTGGAAATGCCCAAGCGCTGCCCTAGCCACATGATGGAATATTACTCAGTCTTTAAAAAGGGCATCTGGAGATATCCACCGCTGAGGATGCACTGAGAACACTGGGCTCAATGAAATGTCCTTCTGAAAGGACAAAGGCTGTGTGAGTCCCAGGCACGGCGCTGGGGGACAATGAGGTGTCTACTTCATCAGCACAGTTTGGCAAGGGTGAGAGTTTCTGGAAGGCAGCGGTGGCGACACTTACACCCCGAATGGCTGTCTCTAATGAGAGGCTATGGGGAAGGCAGCTCTTCTCCACTGTTGGTGGGAATGCAGACTGGTGCAATCCCTGGGGAAATCAGTGTGGACATCCCTCAGAAAACTAGGAGGGGCCATTTAATCCAGCTACTCCTCTGCTGGATATCTTCCCAAAGGAAATAAAAACACCATACCACAGTGACATATGTGCACCCATGTTTATAGCAGCAGTTTATAATAGCCAGATGTTGGAAACAACATAAATGCCCATCGACTCAGTAATAAGTTAAAAAGATGGTATTTCTATGTAATGAATACTATTCAGCCATAAAGAATGATAAACGGGACACTTTTATAGGTAAATGGATGCACCTTGAGAACATACTTATCAGTGAAATAAAAAGACACGCATGTGTGAACATCATTGTTTCATTAGTGTGAGAAGCTGAAAAACATGCATACGTGTATGTATATCTATATAAAAAACAGCTAACATAGTTAAAAATAAAAGAAGAAGCACAATGGCTTCCTTTGTCATCCACGCGACCTGTTCAGAAGCAAATTGAAGGCCTCCCTCCACCGAACACCCTGAAGGTGCTGCCCTGCCTTCTGCACCTTGTCCTAGTCTTTTTGGTCCCAGAGCGAATGACCTCAGCCACAGCAACGGCTCTGGTCCCCCTGCCTTTACTTTAACTACCCACTGTGAGCCACTCTGAGTTGACTTTTGGGTGTCTTAAATTTTTTTTGTGTGATAAGGTTTGGGTTTTTTACATATGGATATCCAGTTGTTTTGGTAATTTATTGAAGGTACAATCCTTTCTTTACTTAATTGCTTTTGTATCTTTGGCAGAAATCAATCGTCTGCTATGTGGGTTTCTATTTTGGGACTTCACATTGGTACTTTGGTGGTTGGGCTATCTTGATATCAATGCCGTTTTGTCATGATTGGTGTAACTTTGTGATAAGTCTGGGATCGGGGAGGACTGGAGCTCCAATTTTGTTTCTTAAAGTTGTTTAGACTTTTCTGAGCCTTTTGTACTTCTACAGAAATATAAGAATAAAAATATTAATTTTTATGAAAAACGATGTTGGCATCTTGATAAGGGATTGTTTTCTGATGCTTATTATTTGATTCCATTTGTTTTTGGTTTTATTCTGTCTTTATTTCTGATTTCTAAACGAAAGATATGAGGACATTTCCCAACTGTCTTTTCTAATAAATGTACTCAGTGTTAAAAAAACAGTAAATGTCACCCTCTCTGTGTTTCTCCGTGATAAGCAAAGAGAGAACTCACCTTTGAAGTTGCCGATGTACAAGCCAGGCAGGATCTAGGAGAGAGACACAGGCGTGAGTGTGGCAGACTCAAGAGGCAGCCTTGCATGCGCAGGAGGGCCCCTCCCCGGGCACAGGGCACGTCCCAGGACAGCCCTGACCCCAACACAGCCCTGTCCGCACAGGCACCGGGCATGGGGCCGTAGCCTCGCTGGGGACACCGTGCTGGGGCAGAGCCGGGCATCCCTGGCCGGGTTGGGTAGCTCTGCAAGCACCTAGCACAGCCCCTCCCTGGAGTTCCGGGCCTGAACTAAGTGCTGTCCAGTGGTGTGTGAGCAGCTGACCCGCATGGAGGCACTAGGAACGCACTGCTGCAGCCTGCTGGTCCTGCTGGCCTTGGTAGGCACAGTGAAGTCTAAATGCCAACGCTGCTCTAGACGCAAAAAATGCATCCACGGCAGCACTGCCGTGACTCCAGGCACACGGCGGGAGGTCTGCAGGTGTGGATGCCCTGGCCACACGCCTGAGGTCAGCACCGTCCGCCCCGCTCCTGCCTTCCTGGTCCCTGATTCCATCGCTGCCCACAGCCTGGTTCCTCACCAGGGCCACTTGCTTCCAGTCACTGTAGGGGGTTGGCAGGGCCCCTGTCCTAGCCGCAGGGCCACCTCTGGGGGGCATGGGCCTCATGGGGCACACCGGCTGCGTTTGGTGTCACCATGGCAGGGCTGGTGCAGCCTGATGTCGGGCAGCAGGATTTTCCAGGTGACTGGAAGCCAGGCGGCCGCGGGTTCACAGGAATCTCCGAGGCTGCAGCGGCAGTGACAGGTGGCTGGGTGAGCCCGGCCACTGAGAACACCTACGGCCACCTTCTGAGGGAAAGCAGGGCCCACTGCCGAGGAGCTGAGACCCCAGCCACTTCGGGGGCCCCCCGGAGAAGGGGAGAGGGAACTGCCACCCTTTCTGGTCTACACACAGGGACGATGCAAGTTCCTCTTGGACCTCACCAGAATCTTGGTAGCTGCTGAACCTTAGCCTCCTCTAAGGACGCTTCTCTGCTAGGCAGGCAACGGTCAGTGTAGACAGAGCAGGCAGTGGACAGAGGACTTCCAAACCTGCACAGCCCACCAGGCCTCTCCTCCTCTCCGCGCTGTGCAGCGCCCCACCCGTGTGTGGGGCCCAGACCCCTGCATCCCCCCAGCCCTGCCTGTAATTGTCCCCGCCCCTCCTGGATGGCGAGTTGAATTCGCTGGTCCAGCAGCCTGGGCGAAGCCTTCCTCGCCATTTTAAACACGTGCCACTGTTATTCTGCTTCCCAGCAGTAACCTCACACAGCTCTGCACACAGTGGGTGGGGTGTAAGGGACGACAGTCCAAGGTCCAAGGTCCTGGAGTCCATCATGGTGAGCAGAGCCTGAGTGCTCCCAGGAGTTCTGTCATGCAGGAGCATGGTGCAGGCACCGGGGCACCGCAACTCGGGGAGCTTCCCGGGCTGTGGAGATCCCCAGAGGCGGGGACTCTCAGGGACAGCGCAACGGGGAGTTGGGGGCTGAGGTCCAGTCCACTGCATAGGAGGAAGGGCAGCCCCAAGTGAAGGGGTGCTCCCCGGCTGAAGAAGCTTCCGGATACCACGGAGTGAACCACAGTAGGAAGCTGCAGGTGGGTGCGAGGGTAGAAAGAGCTTAGTGTCCTGACGCAGTGTCTAAAATGTCATTTTCAAAAACCAAAGGCTAGCCGGGCTCTGCAGCCTGTGATCCCAGACTCCGGTGGGGAGGCTAAGGCAGGGAAACACAAGTTTCAGGCCAGCCTGGCACCTCAGCAACTTAGTGAGATCCTGTTTCAGCAATAAACAGTTTTACAGAGGGTTGGGACTGCAGCACAGCGCAGAGACCCCAGCTCAATCCCCACTACCGTAGTAGGTAAGCAAACAGGAAAGGGGCCCTGGGGTGCAGGTCTGGGGAGGTGACTTCTGTCTTTTTTCTTTTGGCAACACCAGGGATCAAGTCCAGAGTTCAGGTGTTACAGGAGGGCCCAGTCGACACCTGTGGTCCAGTGTGTGCTTCCCCCTGGTTTGGGGGCACAACTATTCAACTTAGCTTTTGTTCAATCAAAAGAGGCTCTTTGGGGGCAAAATATGGCCCAGTTTCGCTTTTCTCTTTCTCCTATCAAATGCAAACCAGTATGTGTTTTGTTACTTAACAGTAAAATAAGCCCATGTGTCAGCTCACCGCTGTGCTCTCATGTCCCAGGCTGTGGTCTGGTGACCTCCACAGCCTCTGGCTCCAAACTTGGCTTCCTGCTGGCTCTTCCATCCCCATCACCACTTCCTCCTAACCAATGGTGCCACCTTCTCCCAGTGCCCCCGATGGACAACCCGGAGCCCCCAGCCACGGGCCCGCGGGCTCCTGCCAGCCAGTTCCCTTCCCACCTCTGCGGAGAGGAAATCTCACCGCCCGTCCTCTGACCTCTGCACCAGCCCAGAGCCACAGCTCATAGACAGGCTGCAACAATGGCCGCTGAACTTTCTCTGTCACTGCAAATGAATTTTCTTAAGCCACACTCTTTTTTTTAAGCAGATGCCATACAGCTTTAAAAATTTTGTTAGTCTATGTTTGCAGTCCCTGATGACCACGTGCACATGGGGAGCTGGTGCATGGATGTGATGCCTCCTGGATCTCTTTCCATCCCTTCCCTCTCCCTCCTCCCTCCATTGCTCTGTTTCTTAGTATCAGTCTTTTGTTCTTTAATTTATTTACATGTCTCTGAAATGAGAAACCGGGCAATAGTCAAGCTTGTGTAGCAGATTTCTGATTTAGTGCTCTCTGCCATAAAGAAGGAAAAATTTGAGTCATCGTAAGAAAGTGAATGCACCCCAGAACCGTCGTGTTAACTGAAATATAGTTACACTCTTCTGAGAGTCAGTTTCCAGACTGAAATGGTCAGTAGCAACTCCTTACTCTAGAAAAGGAAAGCCACACATTTCAACCAGACATTCACCACTGCTCCACGGCTGTGGAAGAACACCTGAGATAAACATCTTAAAGCAAGGCAATATTCCTTTCAGTTCAGGTCTTCGAGGTTTCAGGCCTCAGTGACCTGTCCTGGTGGGAGGGCCGTGCACCCCAGATGTCTGTTCAGTCCAGGATCCAGGAAGTACAGAGAGAGAAAGCTGCCCTGAGATCTAATTTCCTCCCATCAGGCCCCACCTGCTCAAAGTTCCACCACCTCCCTGTGAAGCCACAAGCTGGTGTCCAAGCCTCTAGCACATGGACTTTGGGGGACATGTAAGCCAATCCCCTAACTGGTCTTGGCTCCCACCACCTTCCGAATATTCTGGTCCTCACTGTCTGGGGTCCTTCATTCCTGGGTAATGGGCCATGTATTTTCTTTCCTCGAAGCCTTGCCAAGGTCTGCAAGCCCCTCCCTTCCTTCCCTGGAGCCCAGGACTCTGTGCTTCTGGTAAAGGCTGTGCTCCTGATGCAGCGGCCTCTGCTGCACATCTCTGGGGTGCCGTGTGGCACTGGCTCCTCCGCAAGCTCCCAGCCTGCTCTCCCCAGCATCAGCGCGGCCCCTCTGCTGCGCTTGCCAGTGAGCTGCGTCCTTCTGGACTTGTCGTTCGTTTGGTGCTCCCTAAGCTGCCTTCCTGGGGAATGCTGGCAGTACAGCGCTCCTGTGTAAACCCCGTCAGGGCTCCAGCAGCTTTGGGTGTGAAACCACCATGCAGGCCTTGCAGGATCCAGTGCACCCATCTCCTTGGCTCCTACCCTGCCCAGTGCCTGCTCTAATCGCTCCCTTCTGGGGGTGACTGCAGGACCATGGCTAACAGGGCTGCACAGAGACCAGGGTGGGCCCCCAATGTCAGCACCCAGGTGTTATGGGAAATGGCCCAGTTTTTAAAAACATTTGGAAATTAATACAGTGTTAGAGCAGATTTGTGGTCCGGTGGCTGTGACTTGTGGACATTCAGCCTCGGCCCCGTCTGCTGCCTGCTCGGTCCCATGAGTGCAGCTGCCGCTCTCCTATTCTGGGGAGCTCACTCTGGGACACCCTACAGATGTCAACACCCTCAGACCCTCGGGTCCCTTCCACAGAACGATGCTGCATTTGCACATAACCTACCTCCACCCTCCCAGGTACTTCAGATCACCACTCGATTACTTATAATTCCTAGCAGAACGTACTGGTTATAGGTAACTGCAACACTGCATCATTTAGGGAATAATGGTGGGAAAAATGTCCGTCATACTCAGGAGCTAAGCGGCACCCAGCCTGACCACCAGTGCAGGAAGGAGCTGCCAGTGGAGGAGGCTGGCAGAGGAGTGCAGTGGCAGCGAGAGTGCCGAGCACCGCTCCTCAACCCCGTGAAACTTTCCCCCAGTACCATGCGCGCTCAGCAGTGGGAGCCACGGCAACGGGAGCTGACCGTGTGCTTCCTGTGGCTGCTTCTCCACTGGGAAGGGCTAGAGTCACTGTTTCTCCAACTCAAGGGAGAATAAATCCCGTCAGCATGGTGGGAGAAGACAAAAGACAGAAAGGAGGGAGCAAGATGACCAGGTGCAGCCAAAGTGAGCCTGGCCAGAGGCTGGAGGCCACCTTCCTTCCCTGGTGGAGGATCTGGTCTGCCCGGGAAGCATGGACCCCGGCCTTGGGCCCTGGGCTGAGCACAGGAGCACAGCTGTGACCTTGGCGGTGCTGGGCAGGGACAGGACGTCTGGACAGAGGAGGCAGCTCGGTGAAGACATTTCAGATAGGCACATGCATCAAAAACATTTTCAAGCCACGTGAGGACAGGACAGAGGAGTCACCAGTCCATGGCTGACTTCACTTTCTAGACCAAGAGAGTGAGCTTGAATTTCAAGGCCTGGAAATAGAAAGCAGGTGGCTGGTCCTGGGTTCTGTAGTCGGATTATTTGGTGTCTTCCATGTAAGACTACAGAACAGGATGGAGGAAGCCTGGTCCCTAGCAGATAAAACAAAAGCCCAGGAGCAGCTAAACTTCTACGGCAGTCAGCTCAAAATTCAAACCTGGAACTCAGACAACTCTGCTCTGTCTGCTTCCC